TACACACACACACACACACACACACACACACACACACACACACACACCACCACCACCACACACACACACACACACACACACACACACACACACACACACATACATACATACAGGATCAGAGTTGTGCAAATTTCTTTTCTTTCAAATATTAGAAGCACTATAATATTTATATATAATTTCTTTTTAATGCACAACTGTACAAATTCTTTCTAAAGATATAAAAGCATATGCGAGAATCATAAATAATATCCGAGCAAACACCAGTTACAGTTTATATAACTGTCAATTGTAATTTTCCACTCAACAATATAACTGTTATATAACGCACATAAGGATATATGATAATTATATTGTTAAGTAGGAAATTACAACTAACAGTTATATAACTATAACTTGATGGCTGGGTTTTATATATTTATAAACGTGATAAAGAATTAACTTATAATTAGATGATCCGTTATCGAAATCATCAAATCGATATATATTTTCTTATATTTATGTTTTGATTTTTATATTTATGTTTTGATATATATTATTTCAATCAAATTTCGACATTGTTATTTCGATGTTGAATCGACCAAAATTTTGATATTTGATCTTCAATGTTAATTCGACGTCGCGTCAACCAAACATTTCTGACTGGGTAAATAAAATATTTGTCATCTCCTTATGTTCTAGATATTATTTACTACTTAATTTTGTATAAATTTTAATAAGTGCAGTATAAATTTTAATAAGTTGTTTATAATCAACATGTAGTAGTAAAGTAAGAAGTATTGGTTTAATTTTTTTATAAGATTTAATTAAAAAGTTTTGTTAATTAAGATTCCTGTTTCGTTGCAACCATTCTTAAATTATGACTTTAGAAAATACATGAAAATGTACATACATTAAATGTTTTTCAATAAAAAAAAGACTTAAGATTGATGGAATACACTTGTTGTAATATCGAAATATATCGAAATATATCGAAAACTCATACTTCTCTACTTTCACTCTACTTTCACTCATTTAATTAATAAACATATAATATAGAATTGAACTTTGGTTCTGCTCTGGATTAGACATAATTCATTTCTAGATATATAGTTATTTATTGATTATCAAAATAAAAGGAGAATTTTCCTTTATATCTTACAAATTTGTTCTCTCGAATGCAAACATTATTTTATTAAATCCATTTTCTTGCTCTCGATGTTATAATTCAAAATGACTGTAATGAACCAGTAGAAAATTGTAAATTATAGAAAAGTGTTATAGAAAAATATATAATATACCTATCTTATTATAAATTATAGAAAATATACATACTATATATAATATACCTATCTTATTATAAATTATAGAAAAATGGCAGATCGTTTGGATATAGTAATATTTGGTGCTACTGGATATACTGGAAAATATATAGTGAAGAATGCAGCGCAAATGTGCAAAGAGAAACAAATGAAATTTGGTATTGCTGGTCGTAGACAAGAAGCATTAGAAGCAATCGTTAAGGAATTTGTCTCAGATACTGGTATATTTAAAACAGAATTAATTATGTCAAGAGAAAACAAGTCACTTTGTTTATTGTTAATAAATTCTTATATTACAAGAATATATTATATCTTTTTAGATGATATACCTATTATTCTGGCTGATGTAAAAGATGAGGCGTCTCTCAAGAAAATGACCGAGCGAGCAAAGATACTTATTAATTCTTGTGGTCCATATAGATTTTACGGAGAACCAGTTATTAAAGCTTGTATCGCTACTTGTACTCATTACGTTGATGTCACTGGTGAAGAAGAGGTAATTCAATATACGTTTTTATTATGCAATTCGCAATGAACAATGTTAATTTATTTTACTATTTTCGATACTTTGTAGTTTATGCAGAAAATGCAATTTAAATATAATCAAGCAGCACAAGAAGCTGGCGTTTACATAATAAACGCTTGTGGTTTTGATTGTATTCCAAGCGATTTGGGAATTATTTTCACGCAACAGAAGTTTGGAGGAGAAGTCAATGCTATTGAAATATATTTGTCACTTTCAACTGACACTAATGAGAAAGTTTCTATTTTAAATTATGCAACTTGGGAGTCCGCAATACACAGTTTAGCTAATATACATGAACAACGAGAATTGCGTGCAAAGTTATATCCTACCAAACTACCCGAATTAACACCTAAATTAAAATCAAAGTATGCATCTTTCCAGACATTGCGTATAATTACAAAATCGTATCTTATTGTAAATCAGTTATGTCAGTTTTGTATGTATATCAAATGTTTAAAAATTATGCGAGCTTTATGAACTCGAAAAAGAGGACTAATGCAATTGTATAGATAGCAGGACTAATAATTTGTTAATTGCAGAGGTATACATCGAAGCGACGCGTCTGAAGGATGGTCTATACCATTTCAAAGTGCTGATCGTTCCGTAGCTCTTCGCACGCAACGATTCTTATACGACAAATATAAAGAAAGACCCGTTCAAGTTCAAGTTTACATCACGTTTAAGTTAGTATGATACTAATAAAAAATAAACCATGAATATTGGAAAATAATTTTGATTAATGTACACTTATCATTAGGTCTTTCTTTGTCTGCCTAGCGGTTACCATTCTCGGCATGATTTTATTTTTGATGTCTCGCACAGCATATAGTCGCAATTTACTTCTAAAAGTATGTGTGAAATTAATGCAATTGTTAAAATCATTTAGATCAGAGTATCAGAGAATAAGATAATTAAATTGATATTTGCAGTATCCGACTTTATTTTCATACGGTCTTGTGGGCCATAAAAATCCGAAATTAGAAACACAAAAATCAACACATTTTTCCATGATATTTAAAGCCTGCGGATGGACTGAAAAGTTGGCTGAGCCTATTGACAAATATACAAGTCCACTTAATAAGAAAGTAGTCACGAAAGTCAGCGGTGATTCTCCTGCATATGAAATGACTAGTATTGTAGCGATTTTATCGGCAATTACAATTCTTAATGAAACTGATAAGATACCAGACAAGTAAGTGAGTTTTACTAGTTACCTAATGTCATTTTAGAATTTATTATTTTTGAAAATCTGAACAAATTTACGGTTTATAGCGTAAGATAAATATAAAATAACTTTTATTTTGCTTTTATATATTTATATTATATTTTTATAGCGGAGGAGTATTCACTCCTGGTGCTGCGTTCGGTAAGACATCTCTGATCGAAGAAATGAATAAACATAATATTAAATTTGAGGTGATATCATCTATCGAGAAATAGAAATAGAACGAACGCTCTATGTTTAGATGGTAGAATTTTTTTAATGCTTAATAATTATGTTCGATTTTATATTAATATTTGTCATTTGAGTCAGTTGAGTAGAAATTTTTACATATTTACGTTTCCTTTTAAAAAGGAAATTATAAAATATATATAAATGTTTATAGGATAATTAATAACATAGCAATTTCATAATAAAGGATATTTATACAGGGTGTCCGGCAGCACTGTTCTCATCAATATTTTGCACAAATAAGAGCGCGCGGGGAGAAAGCGCTCGCCCGCCTGATTCGCGCTCTTATTTGTGCAACTTTAATATTTAATAACTCGAAAATTATTGCGAATATTGCAAAATGGTATAAGACATTTTGATTTATTTCGTTCCCGTCTACTTTCTCCCAAGCGATGAGGACAGTGCTACGGGATATTCCGTATATGTGCCATTTTATAATATTGAATTAAAAATTATATTTATGTTTTCTATTTTAAAACAAATGAATAATTTATAAATACGTTTTATATACAATAAAATTGAAATTAAATAAATATAATGTTAATTTTATTGAAATTGATTTGAAGATATTGTTTTAATTTATTTTTATTGTTTTCTTTAGTAATTGATATAACTATCATTTTAGGAATTAATTTTTTTTAAAGAAATGTTTTTTAAAAATATAAATTTATAAATATAAACAATATGTATATAGGGTTACGTTATGTATATGGGCGTCAACAAGGCAAAAACATATAGTCAAATATCTCAGTAAAATAATGCAATTTTGAAAAAAGGTTAGGTAAAAGTTGTAAGTATTCGAGGAAGCCACATGATTATAATAATGATGCATTTATAAATGGATCGATATTTTTTATGGTCACTGTTTTTTGAATTATATATTTTATTATATATTTCTTGTTACTTAATATGATTTCTTTAGTTATTTTGGATATAAAAGTATTAACCCTGGTTAAAACATTCGAAAGAAAACGATAGAGAAAGAATTCTATTATTTTTAATCATGTTTCTGATTCGTGTTTTTCACATTTGCTATATTTGTGACTGAATATATGCAACTCAATGCGAAACTTCTCAAGAATACGATATTATGCTATTTACGTGATTGGTGTTTTATATGATTCTATCATAATGTTACATAAGAAAAGCATTTATTTAATTGTTTTCTATTATAAAAATATTTATATAACATTTCTTTATTTTGATATATTCCAAAATTGGAAATAAGTAGTAAAGTATTTTGATGATTATATCTTAATAATTTTTTATATGAAATAATATAATAAATTACTCGATGTTAAGAATAACAATTTAAAATGGAATTTTAGATAGAAAAATTGCATTCTATTTTTAAAAAATTAAAAAAAATTGTTAATTTTTAATATGCAATGTACTTTTTCTAACATGTTAAGATATTTAACAAATAATATTTCTATTAAACTTTTCTTTAGCTTATTTGTTTATTTGACGTTTTCATACATATGCTACATATCTGCAATAACAATATGTAAGTATAAACTAACTAAATGGACAAACTTTACTTATCTAAACATTCGTGACTTTTAAATTTAACCATATAATGATTTATCTATTCATTATTATGTTTGATTAATTTTTCTTAATAAAGATTTTGGCTAAGTATCAGTGAAATATCATGCAATTTAATCCAGCCTTGAGAATTCGTATTATTTCCATTTATCACAGTAAGATTGCAGCATTTCTACATATATATAAATTGGCTGAATGAAGGTATGTTGTTCACAGTTTCGTCTTGTCCGTTGTATGTAACAGTTAACGCCTTTAAATTGTAGTCTGAGTCGGAGA